CAACACATCATCTAGTGGGAAGGTACGGGAATTCTATGCCTGTGATTAGCTTTGCTGATAAAAACGATAGATAGATCATACAGACGTATATAGCAGGTAGAACATGTGCACTTGCACCTGTAGAGCGCGGTAGTGTCTCCTGTGAAAGCTGGCTGTGGCCGGACAACGGATTCGCGGGAAAAAAAGAAAGTATTGGCGGAAAAGGAAGTGTAGTTTCTCTCGTGAAAGCTTGGTGTGGCGGGAAAAACGGATTCGCGAGGAAAAAGTAATCAATTTGGCGGGAAAAGGAAGGACATAGGCGGGGGAAACAGAGAGAACAGTAGCATTTGCGAACGGGATTTAATATCGATATCGGTTTCCTCTGTGTCTCCTTTTTTTTTTTTTTTTTTCTTTCTTTTCTTTCCTCTGTGTCCCTTTCAGTGCGGTAATCCCTTTCAGTGCGGTAATCGTACGTTGCTGGATTTTTTTTTGTTCTATTGGTTGTATAGCTTGCTTGGATATTTGTAAGGTGGGTCCATTGTAGTATATACGATATTATTTTTTCAGATTGTTCTTTTTGTTTTATGTTTGTTAAATTTCGTTTCTAAATCTGCGTGCATTGTATACCTGGTTTTTTTTTTTTTTTTTTTTTTTTTTTAATGAACGTATATTACTGTATTGTGTATGAGGGCAGACTCACCCTAGGACGTTCCTTGATGCATCTGACCTGAATTACGCCCTGACCTGTATGTGCCTGGCCGCAATTACGTCCAGAGCTCAGTAGATAAAGGTCCTAATGTGAGTGTGCTCTGAGTACCTCGGTGGGATGTCTGTGATCACATCGTTTAAGGATTCATGATTGGTCACTGAGAACTACCGTCTTCCCCCAACTAGATCGTACGGTCAGTGTAGCTGCATTTCTGGAGGGCAACTTTCATCATTGTAGATACAATGATTCTATTCGGGCGAAGAGGGTAGGAAGCGAAATCTATCGATTTTTTTTTCTTCATTCGGGCCATCTGACTGTGTCGGGATTTGAGCTCGGGGCTATGTTCCAACAGTTGGTGGGTGGTTGTACCAACTGAGCTAGGCTCTTTTTTTTTTTTTTTTTTTTTTTTTTTTTTTTTTTYTTTACTGAAATCGACCGGAGTGTTGTGTGTCTTTTCGAAATACCAGTTTGTATTCATCAGTCTTATGACTTGTTTGTATATACTCTACCTATTCATACGCGTGTGTGCATTGCTGATGGGAGTGTGAATGTGTTTCACTTAGGTGTCTAGGGGGGGGGGGGGGGGGGGGGGGGAATCAAGCACGCATACCTGCCTAGATGCAGGTGCGTTGTATACGAATACAACGCACTCCGTGCGTTTTATTCGGGGAAACGACGCACGTGCGTTTTGTTCGGCGGAAGACTGTAGGAGATAGCCTGTACATGTTGCACATTGGTGTCTAGGTGCATGTATACTAAGCTCGTATTGTTGTTACGTCTCCAATCTGTCACCTTTCTGCGCCGCTGAGCGCAACGCCGCGCGTCATGTGAGGAAATTGACTTCTGTATACGCGCCTGAAGGGGTGGCCTTCATGTATTCAAGACAACGGGGATGTCCAGGTGCATGCATGTATGTAAGCTCGTGTAATTAATTGTACGTCTCGCAATCTGTCATCTTTGTTCTCTGCTCAGCGCAATTGTGTCATGCTTCATCGGAAACTGCTCTGAGTCCTTAACCTCGTCGACAGCACTGCATCTTTTGTACTCCTTTTGCTTTCTACGAAACCTGCAGCTCCCTTCTCAACAACCAAGTGAAATCGACACAGTGACTGTCTTAAATGAGAAAGTGATCGGCCTGATTTAACCTTCCTTTCTCCTTTCTTTTCCCTCCTCTCTCTCTCTCTCTCTCTCTCTCTCTCTCTCTCTCTCTCTCTCTCTCGTGTTCTCTTTCATCTAGACAAGATAGAGGAGAGGTAGAGAAGGGCGGCGTTGTAGCAAGTTGCGATGTTAGATTAAACAATCTGCCATAGCCAGTGTTTTGGTCAGCCACTCCCATGCCCTCTCACACACACACGCACACACACACACACACACACACACACACACACACACACACACACACACACACACACACACAGACACAAACAGAGGCGAAGCACGGGGTCGCAAGCCTGCCTGTCCACGCAGTCGACGACTGGACAGCGTAACACAGATGACAAAGGCGGTGCTCCTCACTCTGGGAGTTTCTCAGATGAATTTGGCCTTTTTTCTGATCACATCCAAGTAGGAAAGTGCTAGAGTTTATCAGTCAGCAGGTGCAGAGGGAAAGAGAGAAGAGAAGGCGGAAGGGGAGAGAGAGAGAGAGAGAGAGAGAGAGAGAGAGAGAGAGAGAGAGAGAGAGAGAGAGAGAGAGAGTAGGAGAGATGAGAGTCTAGGCTTTGTTATCTTCTTGTAGGACAAATTGTGCTAGTGTGATATAGCCTAAGGACTACCGCGGCGTTGTCATGCGGCGAGTCCATGCCGCCGCCTACCATCGAGGTCGACGTACCACGTGGGTGTTGATATGCTTGGTGTTAACGGAATCCGTTAGCAGGGCAACACCGTCAACATAGATTCTGTTGATTGACGGCAAACGGAATCGATTCCATTGGCCTGCAAACGGAATCCCTTGAATTGCCAGCGAACGGGAGTCCCTTTGCATTGGGCGCAAACTGAATCTCTCTCTGAGATTGACCACAAACGGAATCCCTTAGACTGGCCGCAAAGGAAAAATCTTTTAGATTGTTGGCTGCAACGCAATTCCTTATTAGATTGACCGCAAGATAACGAAATCCGTTAGCTGCACGTGGTTGCATAGGGCAGCGTGCTCGACGCCTCGCGTCCACGTCGCCCGCCAGCGAGTCGTAGCGACGACATGTCGCCGCCCGCACACGCGTCGACGTCATCGTCAATGAACGGCGACGGCGACGTCCCGCCGTGTCCGCCGTCAATGCATGGGGAGCGGCCGCCGTCTGCCCCAGTGAAACCGACTACTACCGCGACAGGGATCGGGATCCAGGTCAGAAGCTTGACAAGGAGCGCTAGCACGGGTCAGGCGCCGCGGGCGGCGGCGACCGCTCCCAGGAACTTCACGAGAAGTTACACATTCCAGGGGACGTCAACGAAAACCACGGTGGTCTCCTCGTTCCCGGCGACGCGATGGCTGAGTTTGGGCAAAGATGAGGAGGAGGGAGGGCGAGTGGAGGGGACTGGAGCGGCGGGGGGGTGCTGGGGCGTATGCAGGAGCCCGGGTAGAGGGAGGGGGGGGAAATCGGAAAGGACGGCCCCGGTGGTTGTCTCGAGACACGAATGGGGCAGTTCAACCGACCGGGGCCCGAGTTTACCGGAACTACCGGCGGAACATATAGCCAATAGGAAATCGAGGCGGCGCAGTGTGACCGTGCCCTCGTCGCCGAGGGTACCTACAACGCCGCGGGGGACAGCAACGCCGCGGGCGAAGGAGGGAATGATTACAGCGGCGACGGCGAGGATTTTATCAGGCAGAGAGCCGGAGGGGAAGGAAAGAGAGAGGGAGGGGAAAGAGGAGAGTGGAAGAGAGCGCGGGGAGCAGCAGCAGCAGCAGGAGAGAGGGAGGGACGACAGCCTAGGCTTGTTGTCATCGTCGCTATCGCTGTCCTCTTCCTCATCGTCACCACCACGGCCATCGTCGGCTGTGTCTTCTCCGAATCCCCGACGCGCGAGATTGGGAGAGAAGGCGAGAGGAGGAGGAGGAGGAGGAGGAGGAGGCGGTGGTGGACTTGCACGTTCTACTGTGAAGAGCGTGAGCCCGCGGGAAACCATTCGCTCGTCGACAACGAGTGGGTTGTGTACCAGAGGTGAACGTCGGCAAGGCCGCCGTCCTCGTCGCGAAGGAGAGCTTAGTGACGGCGGAGAAGAGGACGACGAGAAAGACGAGGAAGAAGAGGAAGAAGAGGGGAGCGAAGAAGACGACTGGGGGATGGAGGCGGCTGGTGCGTCGTTGGATGCCCCCGCCCCGACAGCAGGCGGTGAAGGAGATGAAAACGGACACGTGTCTTCGCCCTCTTCGTCTATGCTCTCCGGAGTCAAACTCTCCCGTCGCTGGTCAAACGTTCACGCCGGCGGTCGGTCGGGATTGACGGCCGCTTTGTCGTTATCTGCGGGCGAGTTCGACGTTGAAAGTCGCCGGGAAAAAATGTTGTCGTCAACGGTCGACGGACGTCCCGTGGAAGGTGCGGGGGTGGCGGCGGCGGCGGCGGCGGCGCCAACGGGGAAAGTAGGAGCCTCGGCAAGAGCAGTGGAGAATGGGAGTGAGAAGGGAGGAGTTGATGGGGGCGACGTAGGGGAGGGATGCTTTCGGGCGGCTGCTAGTTGGGAATGCTCGCCGCCGTCTTCGTCGGCTATGGCCGTGCCATCGGGATCACGGCCGGCGACGGCAGCATCGCCGCGGTCGAACGCGGATCACACGTTGTCGACGACAAGAACTGCGCCTCCGCCGCCGCTGCCGCCAACGTCTCCGCCGTCGGGTACGAGCAGCACAGTGATGTCGAGTATCAAGGATGGTAGTAGCCATAATACTGAGAATAATAATGCTCCGACGTCTGTCATGATACCGTTGGGATCCCGGAGGGTGAAGGCAGCAGCATCGCCACGGTCGAACGCGCTGCAGTACACGTTGTTGACGTCAACATCGCCGCCGCCGCTGTCGCGGTCGCCGGCGGGTAACAAGGACAACAACAGTCCGATTTCTGTGACGATAGCTCGATCTCCAGTTTCGCCTGAAGCGGACAAGAGAGGAGGAGGAGGAGGAGAAGAGAGGCGAGCAGCAGCCGGGGAATGGGAGGAGACCGGCAGCAGCCATATTCTTCGGCGAACGAGATCTATAGGCCGAGTGAGGGGATACGTGGCCCCGGTGAAGGCGGCGGTGAATGGAGGCGATGGGGAGAAGAGGTCGGGCGGAGATCGCCCCGCCGGCCTGCAAGGTGGGGGGGCCACAGAGGCGACGAATGAGGTGACTGGATTGAAGACCGGTGAGGATAACAGCGCAGGGGTTGTTGATCGGCGCTCGTCTTTGGCAGTGTCTCCCCCCTCAAGTATGGCTGCTGCGAGTGGCGGGAGAACAAAAATGCCCGCCGCTGGAGATGGCGCCGGCGACGAAAATCGGTCGCCCACGTCGATCCCAAATCCTAACAAGCTGGCAAGTTTGAAATTGAACCGTTGGGCGCGCGCCAGAGCTCTCAGGACGCCATCCTGGAAAGCAAAAGCGATGGAGCTCACGTCTTCTTCGTCGTCAGATAAGCCCTCATCCACTGTATCGGCGGAGGAAGGCGAGCCGGCGCACGACGAACCAAGCTGCGGTGAAAGGTCGTCGTCTCGGCTGACGGATGGAGGAGTAGAATCGGACGACGAGGAGAGCGGGTGCGACGGACCGGTCGTTCACAAGCAAATTTTCATAGTGTCCGATGCGACCGGCTGGACCGCGGAGAATGCCGTACACTCAGCGCTCGGGCAATTTGAGAGTCGACTATTTGATGTATGCCCGGTTAGCACACATCTCTTCTCTCAGGTGAGATACATTGGCACTCCCTTTACCTCTCTGGAGTTTCTGTCATTGACAAATTTCCCTGTTTTCCCCGTTCGCCCCCCGCCTACTAGTCTTCTCTCGGTCCCTCTTTCCCTTCTCTATTGCTATACCTCTCTCTCTCTCTCGATCTTGATCGACCTCAGTCTATCTCCCTCGCTCCTCCATTTCGTTCTCTCCCTCTCTCTCCCCCTCTCTACCCCTCTCTCTCTCCCTCTCTCCCTCTCCTTCTCTCGCCCTTCCACTACCCCCCACCATCTCCGTCACTCTCCCCCCCACTCTCTCCCTCTCTCGCCCTCCCTCTTATCTCCCTGTCCTCTCCATCCTGTCTCCTCCCATTCTGCTTCTAGCTCTTTCCACGGAAACCCACCCGCTCCTCTCCATCCTCTCCATCCTGTCCCCTTAGGGTTTGTTCAAAACTTCATACGTACGAGTTTTGCGCCAAGGTTTCACGCATGCATATGAAGAGAGAAGCGGTAAGTGGGAGTGATGGTATGTGCATATTTAGTCTACAATCTTCCGCCGAATACAACGCACGGTCATTATAGCCGAATTTGGTCTATCTTTCAGTCTAGATACAGCTATAATGACCGTACGTTGTATTCGGGGGAAGACGGTAGTACCTCAGATGGCCAAACAGAGGGAATCGGAAAACCGCACGCGGAGGGAAAGTAATGGGGAGAAAAACCGATGAGGGTGCGCTGCCGTTTCATTTGTTACTTAAACTTACTTTCGCTCAGCAATTTTTTTTTTTTATTATTATTATTATTTTTTTTTTTTTTTTTTTTTTAATTTGGACCATTTCTCGATTTATGCGTGCCATCCTTGCGCAGGGGCCATGCTAATCTTCTTTCTCTCTGTATCGTTCCAATTTTAACGGATGTCCCGAAGGACTCGCTCAACAATTTTGCCGTCTTTATAATTGTGGAAAGACGCTCTTAAGGCCTCAGCTTCACCGTCGCCATTGTGTGAACCTGACCATGTTATCTTCTCGTAGAAGCTGGACAGATACACCCGCCATTTTTTTTGTCGTTCTCACACATTTGGGGAGGGGTGGGGCGAGGGCCTTAGCGTGTAAAGCTTTGGGAAAGACCCCCTGTGGCCCTGTGCCTCGCAGACGACGCCCCTGAAGCCCCTCAGTTGTTAAGGCTTCTCTTTTCGGCGCACAGATCGTGAGTTCTTCCGCATCACCGTTTTTCACCTCCTCCCTTACCGCCTCCGCTCTCATCTTTATAACCGAACCGAACTCAATATCTGCTTCCTGTGGATCGAACGCTCGTCTGTATTTCAACAGCTGAGGGGTGTACCAACTGTGAGCTAGGCTACCGTCTTCACCCGAATAGAACGCCCGGTCATTATAGCTGTATTTGGCACAACTTGCAGCCCAGATGCATCGATAATGACCGGGCGTTCTATTCGGGTGAAGACTGTAGTTGGTAACCGAACTGAATGCCGCTGTAGTGCCCAATGACGTCTTCGGCATCGCCGTCTCTCACCTCCTCCCTTATCGGCTCCGCTCTCATCTTTGCAACCGAACCGACCTCAATATCCCTGTTGTGCCCCCTCCAATTTTTTTCTTTTTTTTCTTTTTATAGATTTGGACCATTTCTCGATTTATGCGTGGCATCCTTGCGCAGGGGCCATGCTAATCAATCTTCTCTGTATCGTTCCAATTTTAACGGATGTCCTTCGAAGGACTGCCCCCTCAATTTCCGCCCACTGCGGTGAGGTACTAGCATCCTTCCGGCCGGGGACGTGGATGTTGATGATTTATTTTTATTATTTTAATTAATTAATTAATTTATTTATTTATTTTGATCGTTTTTTTATCTATGGACATATTGATGATTTACTGAACTCCTCACACGTACGTGATGAGGAGGCGGGCGGTGTCTGACACACACAAAAAAAAAAGGCGGTGTCGATCGGAAACTGGACACGACCTGGGGCTAGGTCCCACTTACACGAATTAAGCGATATTGACCGTAGATAGCAAACAAAGATCAACGGCCAGAATCTCTTAATCACCGTGCAAGTGGGACCCCTTGCCCCTGTTGGTGAACCACAGTCGAAGATGTAACATCATTGTTGTTTGTTTTGTTAATTTTAATTGTCGTTTGTTTTGTTAAATTTTAATTGTTGTTTGTTTTGTTATATTTTAATTGTTGTTTGTTTTGTTAAATTTTAATTGTTGTTTGTTTTGTTAAATTTTAACCATATCCCTCAATCTGCCGCGTGTCATCCTTTCGCAGAAGCCGTGCTGATCTTAACCGTACCTCAATCTCTGCGCGTGTCTTTCTTGCGAAGAGGCCATGCTTCTCTTCTCTTCTCTGTAACGTTCCAACTATAGATGACGGTCCGAACCAACTGGCCTACCGTCTTCACCCCAATAGAACGCCCCGGTCCTTATAGCGGTATTTGGTGCAACTTTCAGTCTAGATACAGTGATAATGACCGGGCGTTCTATTCGGGTGAAGAAGGTAGCTCAGTTGTTACACCCCTGAACTGTCGAAATACAGACTTGAGTTCGACCTCCACTGGAAGCAGGTGAGTAAAATTATAAAATATTACAATTATTCTGAATTACGTAGGGCCGGTCAGTTCGACAATGATATCAAAGGCCCATCGCCCTTTCAAAAAAAGGGAGGTGAAAAGAAAGGAGAAAATACAGAAAGGAAGGAGGGGGGGGGGAACGTGGGCCAGGCCTGTGATGTGATGCATAATAGGAATTTCAAATCGAACACGCTCGTGGTGACGAGAATCCTCCTGTTTGGTAATAATACGATCAACTTTCCAACCAAAAAATAAAATAAAATAAAATCCTGCTGTGAAAAAAAGGGTCCTTTCAATAGCGAACCTGATCCAAATTATCCTTCCAGCAAGGTCTTCGAACCCGCGGCTTCTGTTAAAAAAAAAAAAAAAAAAAAAAAAAAGGAACCCGCGGCTTCTAGCTACTAATAGAATTGCTTTCTGTTCCTAAAAAAAGAAAGACTGTGGAGTACGGTACTACCGTTAGCACGCATGTCTGCAAGGCTACCTCGTTCCCCTTCGCAACATTGCATTTTCATTATTTCTTAGCAATTGCAAATTGCATGCCAACTCGATACTTGAGAAGGCAAATCTGCTTGATTACGGCAACGATCCGGCTTATCAGCACACAAAAGGCAGTAATTATGTTGCGGACGGAGCATTTTACGCTTGGCGTCCTGCCGCTTGCAAGGAAGAAGAGCCAACTTCAGGTGCTTCATGCACTCGAAGGTGAGAACATTGACCGTCAGCCGCCAACTTGAGATGCGTTATGCTCGCCGGTGTGCCATCCATGCCTGCATTCGCTTACAGGCCCGGGCAGTATACACACACACACACACACACACACACACACACACACACACACACAGAGCGAGCGAGCGAGCGAGCGAGCGAGAGAGAGAGAGAGAGAGAGAGAGAGAGAGAGAGAGAGAGAGAGAGAGAGAGAGAGAGAGAGAGAGAGAGGCAGGTGAGTTAGGGGTGCATCCTGGCGTGCGACGTGATCCCAGTGACTGCCCCCTCCCCTTCCCCCGCCCGCCCCTCCTTCCTCCCCCATTCTTCTTCCTCTTCCTCCTACGCTGCATGCGCTCAGACGCACGCGCACGTGCGTGCGTTTGTGTGTGTGAGAGACAAGTTGGGTGGGTTCGTTCCCTCTTTTCTTCCACTTTTTTCGTGGCTTTCTTGGGTGTGTAAGAGACAAGTTGGGCAGTGAGGAAGAGGAATGAGGAGAAGGTGGAGAAGTGGGAAGAAGAAGAAGACGAAGAAGGAGAAGAGAAGAAAAAAGTAGAGATGAAACAGAAGAAGTGGATGGTGTGGGGAAGGCGGCACGTTCGCGGGCAATAAATGTTGCGCCCCACCCCTCTCTCTCTCTCTCTCTCTCTCTCTCTCTCTCTCTCTCTCTCTCTCTCTCTCTCCGTGTGTGCGTTACACATGCACAAACATGTGTGCGCGTATGCAGACGCATGTGCGTACTCACATGCGCTTTGGACTCTGCCCGGGCCCCGCCCTCATTATACACAGGACAGACGAACGGCATTCAAACGCCTGGTGCACTTACAGGTACCGACTTCTCTCGGCCTGTGAGTGCCGGAACCAAACCGGTTGCTGATCCAAGCCTGGGGCTAGGTCCCACTTACACGAATAAAGTGCTATTGACCGACGACCGTAGATAGCAGATTCTCTTAATCCGTGCAAGTGGGGCCTTGCCCCTGGGTAATCACCCATAGGCTGACGGATCAGGTGCCAGGTCTGACGTCTGATTCCTGGGAAATCAGGTCTGGATCATTGGGGCGCGGGAAGGGTGTTAAGGAATGTGAAATCTCTAGTCCGTGGGGACTGGGAAAGTGTGAATTGTTTTTTTTAAGTATTAAAAAAAAAGGAAGTGTGATTTCTTTTTGTAATTGCCTTCGGGGATTATGGAGTTGTGGGACTATGAGTCAGACCGGCAGTCACAGCCATGACTGTCTGAGTATGGGGTTCCATGTCGGGGTGTAGGGTCTAAGAACGATTATGGGGTCCAATGTTGGGGTGTAGGGTCCTCAGAGCATGAGCAGTAATCCTGAGGTCAAGACTCTGGTGGCACAGCGTCCGCGACTCCACGCTGAGTTCCCAGGCTTGCAGGAGAGAAAGTGAATCCAGGCCTCGGGAAAGTGAACAATCAGTCTCTATGACTGGGTTCCCAGGCCTTGAGAAAGTCGAGTGTTGTTCTTCACAGCGCTGACGTATGGAGTCCATTGCCAGCGTGGTACCAATTTGAAGGGCAACATTGTACACTTGCCAGTGAAGGGTGTTGTGATAGTTTAGAGTGACCGCACTAATAGTAGATGGAGAGGTGGTTGCTTGATGAGGCCACGCCTTTAGGGAGAAGAGCCTGGTGGAGGAGGAGGGAGGAGACATTGTCGTGATGATTATCAGGAGTCGGCTGTGTTACTCCGTCTCTTGTTCAGTTTCTCTCTTTTGCCTTCTTCCCTATTTCGGAATTCTATCGTCTTCACCCGAATAGAACGCCCGATCATTATCCCCTGCATCTGGGCTGAAAGTTGTCCCAAATACAGCTACAATCCCTGGGCGTTCTATTCACCTCAGAGCAAAGGCGCACCTAAGAAAGCACAGACCTGGTGGTGACAAATGGCAACGTTTGTTTGTTGTAAATTTGTAATGTAGTGCAAGCAGCACGTGATCCTAAGCTTCCAGCCTTAATTTACTGATCCTTAGTGAATTCCAGAAAACCTTTGGGCCTGAATTGGACTATTGGGGTGCCTTCTAGGCTCTAAGTTGGCCCTTGGAGGACAGGTATGACTATTCTGGAAAGTCACGAGTCCTAGGCTAGAGTTAAGGAGATCATACCGTGCCGTGCACAACTCGAAGGGGGAAACGCGAGTTCACCTCCAGTGACAAATGGCGACGTTTGTTTGTTGTAATTTAGCACACGCAGCACGTGAACCTAAGCTTCTGGCATTACTGACCTGAGTGAATTCTAGAAAACCTTTGGGCCTGAATTGGACTATTCGGGTGCCTTCTAGTCACTAAGTTAGCTCTCGGAGGGCAGGTATGGCTATAATTCTGGAAAGTCACGAGTCTTAGGCTAGAGTTAAGGAGATCAGAGTGACTGTGTGCCGTGTAGAACTCAAGGGGGAAACACGAATTGACCTCCTGTTCCCCTGCCTTCGTCTACTTTGTCATTTGAGGGGACTTGACGCTATGGACCATCCTGCCATGTTCACTACTGGATGAGTCGTGATACACTTGTGGGCACTCTGGTATTCCCTCAGTGGAGGAAACCGTGCTTATGGTTCGACATGAAGACTGCATGTCTGTCTGGCCTCATGACCATTTTATACTGTGTTGCACTCATGTCTTCAACAGTGGCGCTTGCCTGTCTAGCATAGCAACGTTTCTGCGACATCCGGGGCCAGTTTCAGGTAGCCAATTATGAGGTCTGGGCTGTGTGGTGCATCTTCAAAGAGCGCGCTACATGAGGAGAAGGTACTGTGGGGGTAGAGAAGAGGTTGTGTGGTTGGTGCTGGCTCTGCAGCAGCTTTAGGGGTCGTTGACTATGCAGCAGCTTCCTGGGCCATTGATTCCAAAGGATCAGAGGATCAACAGCCTATATGGGACGGAGGATGTACAAAATGAGGCCGAAGGTCCATTTCTCATCGGGGAAAGCAACCAAAAGTGGATTTAAAACAGTAGAAAGAAGACAAAAGAACTAAGTTATGTGACAATCTATATGGAAGGGTCCATTTGTAGATGCTTGTCTGTTGAAAATGCATCCGTGTGTGGTTTGCCCGAATTGGAAAACTTTGGTTTGCCTTAGGTGGATGATACAATGGTGTGCTTTGCCTGAATTGGAAAATTTTGGTTTGCCTTAGGTCGATGATACAATGTGGGAGGTCCACTGCTGCCTGCCTTGTTTGATTCGAGAGATTACCTCCTTTGTTGCTTATATATGCATGGAAGGTCCAGTGCTCCCTTGTTTGACTCGAGAGACCACCTCCTTTGTTGCTTATCAATGCAATGCAGGTGACTGAAGTTGATGATTTAATGGAGATCGTGAGACAGGCAGCAGAAGAGGGGAACTTGTTTGTGTTCACTTTGGCAGAACCACCTTTGAGGGAGGCTGCAGTACAGGCATGCGAGATGTTCAGCGTTCCTTATGTGGATCTGCTGAGCCCTCTTCTGAATGCGATGGCCCTGCACTTGGGTATCAACCCTTCAGGCATTCCACGGGGTGTGGGACGGAAACAAAATCTCACCAAGCAGTATTTTAAGAGGATCGAGGCCGTGGAGTTCACAATCCGTCAAGATGATGGAGCTCTCCCAAGGAATCTTCACAAGTCAGACATTGTTCTCGTCGGTGTCTCGAGAACCAGCAAGACACCGCTGTCAACATACATGGCACAGAAGGTATGTAACTGCTTTCTTCACCCTTTCCTTGTCGCTTGTGCTTCATGTTCACCTCAGGCTGATGATATCACACAAGATATCATGAGACTTTGAATGAAGGTATTATTACATAAGTGTGTGGGTTCACAGTGTGTTTCTGTGTTTCAACTTGCTGAAATGCTTGCTGTTGCAGGGGTTCAAGGTTGCAAATGTGCCGCTGGTTCTTGGGATAGTGAAGGTATTATTACATAAGTGTGTGGGTTCACAACTTCAGTGTGTTTCTGTGTCTCAACTTGCTGAATTGCTTGTTGTTGCAGGGGTACAAGGTTGCAAATGTTCCGTTGGTTCTGGGAATCGACCCTCCGAAGGAGCTTTGGGACATAGACCAGAACAAAGTCTTTGCCTTGACGATCAACCCACAAGTGCTAAGTTCTATCCGACTGGCACGGTATAACAGCTTCGGCCTCACTCCGGCGACAACTCAGGAACCACCAGAGGGCCAGGGGAAGAGGTATAGCGATCGAGATTACGTGAGGAGAGAGCTTGAATATGCCCATGGACTGTTCAGCCGGAATCCGAAGTGGCCTGTCATTGGTGAGTTTGTGTTTTTAGCTGTAAACGTCCAGTTATCTGTCTGTGAACCTCTGACGTTTGATTGGCAATGCTTGTTTGTCCCATTTTGGATAATATCATTTATTCTGAGTAACCATATCCAGGGTGAGGTGATCCTTCAGATGTAATTTGAGCTTAATCCCGTAAATGAGCTGAATCGTAATGCAGAGATTGTTCGTGTCAGTCCAGCACAGGGGCGGCCTGACATGCTTCTGCCTCTTTTTGGGCGTAGTAATTGTTTCTGACTGAGTAATAGACAATACGCTGGTATCACACAACTGGATCGCGAAGGGGTTGAATGATGACTTGAATGCCACTACATGGTAAAGGCGGTCCAAATGCATTTGATGATGATGATGATGATGATGGTCGCGATGTTGACTATGTAGCTATTTGAAAGATGGTGATGGCGATTTCGTGGCGAGCTCCTTGTCCTCGCTCACCATTGACAGTCAGATTGAAAATGCAAGCCAGCTTCTCAGGTGTGTTGCCCAGCCTGTGTTGGTGGACAAGGAGCCACACGTTCGTTCGGGTAGACGCCATGTGGCAGTTTGGGGCAGCAGAGAAAAGAAAACCGTGTGCGTCGACCTGAACTGTTCAATCGAGCCTATGTTATGTTGTTGAGGTCAGCGGCCGGAGCTTGGCCACCCTATGTTTAACACGTCCATTGTCGGGCAAAAGACAGTCTCACCAAGTCAGGTTTGGGGAGGTTGGTGGGTCGTAGGCCGTCACCTTGCAGGCAAGTAAGTACTGGAGGGCCTTCATGTCCTCATTGTTTGCCGATGGGCAACTGAAGGCCCTCTGTGATGTGACTGCAGCCCTAGGTTACATGTTCAATGCCTTGCACAGAGCATCTGAGAGACTGAAGTCAGGATTTGGCGAATATCACCATGCGAAGATGTTTGGTGCCAACGAACTTCGGTTGCATCGCTTTCCGCTGCAGGTAGAAGTTTCAAAGTGAAGGGCGTCCGTGTGGTGCGCTGTCGCGCAGTTGATGACAAGTCTGCTGCAAGGAACCTGCAAAAGAGAAACTCAAATACTCTTGACTCACATGCATGTGGCACGCAGATTGGAAAAGGAATCCCCAAGGCAATGATCACACCACACAGGAAGCAACTGAAAGGCATCTCAACGATATCCACAGTGCTTAGGCCACCTACCCTATCTGCTGCAATCCTAGCCTGCACTATACCATAGGTCCATAGGATCATGTCACAGAGTACCACCATCCTGGTCCCTCGGGATGTCTGCTTGAAGAAAATGTCGCGTTGGAGCTCTTCTCGAAGTTCTCAGTGCCCACCAGGTATTCCCCTAAATGGTCATCATGAATAGTTAGCGTCATCCACAGGCACTTATCCTGTTTTCATAATGGATATCGTCACACCCATCGGCACTTACTTTTTGAATTCACTTTCACCAAGAGAAGAGAGCATAGGACTGCCCCACCCTCCAGACACTGATGAATCAGCTAATGTTGCTGAATGGGCAGTGCGAGGCCCCATGAGCTACCCCTAGCAGACAGAGAAAGGCCAATAGGCCCTGGGTCCCAGTCAATCGCATGAAGTCCCAGTTGGCCTGAGACAAGGACCCGTTAAACCTGCCCGAGACCCAGTAGGTCACGGTCAAGTCCAAAGGACTCCGGAAAGCAGTAAAAAACTGGCCAAGCAGGACCAGACCACAAGGATAGCGCAAGTTGAAAGAAATTCAGATGCAGGATGCCGCCAGACTGTAGGAGCATTGAGTTGACATCCCAGTCAATCGCATGAAGTCCCAGTTGGCCTGAGACGAGGACCCGTTAAACCTGCCCAAGACCCAGTAGGTCACGGTCAAGTCCAGAAGACTCCGGAAAGCAGTACCAACTGTCCAAGCAGGACCAGACCACAAGGATAGCGCAAGTCAACGGAAATTCAGATGTAGGATGCCGCCAGACTGTAGGAGCACTGAGTTGGCATAGCGCCAGCCAGACGAGGGCTACACACTGTGCAGTCAGCCAGTGCCATAGCTGTCAACCACTTAGGAGGAAGATGACCTCCACCACAGCTGAAGGGGACTCCGGAAGGCAATGGCGCCATAGCTGTACGTCACAGAAGCGTCGGAAACTCGAGGTGATATTACAAGTAGAAGATCCTTGGGGGAAGAGCAAGGCTGTGGTGAGAGGTGGTACACATTTTTCGTTGTTCACATGTGGTTGACCAGGGGTGTTATTTTCGGCGAATTTTGCACCGAAACTGTCACATCGTGCCTGATTCGTTGCTTTTTTTCTTGTTTTTTCGTTTTCTGTCATAGCCTTGCACGTGAGAGGCACAGTGGAGGTGGAGTTCAAAGAAGAATGAGAAATTTAATGGTTTCAATCTGGCCTTGTTCTTTCTTTTTGTTTTTTATTTTTGCATGTTATCACTGTGCCCGTTTTTTGCTTTTATTCTTTGTTCCGCAAAGTGCGCTCTTTTAGTTTGTAGTGATGTGACAATATATGTGCTTTAGGGTACGTCATGTGTCCAGTTTTGACATGTTTGGATCAATAATGAAAAAGTTGGCATTTCGCTGAATTCGTTGGAAGCTTCATTTGAACTCGGGCAGTGTTTTTGTGTTAGGGTTTTATAGTGTTTTTTCAACTTTTTTTTGTCTCTTTGGCCTGTTTCTTTTTCTGATGTTTGCACTATGGGCCCACGTCGTTTGTTTTTGAAAATTTCGATGAATTTCACATCGAAATTGCCAGCGAAAGCGGTTGATATTTGGCCCCCCGTTAACCATCTCTCCTTAATACCGAAAATTAACGTGTGTGTGTGTGTTTGTGTGTGTGTGTGTGTATCTGTGCTCGTGCGTATGTGTATGGTCTTGTGACCTACAGAGGTGACTGGACGTGCAGTGGAAGAGTCGGCTGCAATCATTCTTCGGATTTTCCACGAGCGTCAGAATGCGCATCGCATGCCGCGCATATCTTGGCGGTACTAGACATATTAGCTGGCCTGCAATAATGCTCTGGATTTTCCATGAGCATCAGATTTGTACTTCATATGCCCAGCATTCCCCTGAGCGTACTAGACATGTGAGTTGACCTCCAACGAGGCTGAATTGTCTTCACCTCATGCATACACAAGGATGAGCATCAAGGGAAGATAGCTTTTTTTTTGCTTGCAGCTTATTCCCTGATATCTTTTTTTTTTTTTCGTGCAGCTTATTCCCTACTTCAGACTGCCTCCTTTCTTCCACTATAATTGTGTACTCAGCTTCCTTTACACGATATTTAGGCCTGTAGTGGTCTCTGCTCAGAGCCTGGTCGGTATGTAGTTGTTGGCATGTTCGCGTCTTGTGAGATCCAGGCATGATCTCGTGAGCATTTGTCCGTAGGGCCTGACTGAACAAAATATAGAACATGTGGTCTCGTTCGATCAGCCTGAGGATGTTGATCAGGGTACATGCGGATTTCTGACGGCAGAGATTCAAACGGTCGTATGCGTCCTATTCCGCTTTTCCTCCCTTTTATGTTTAGCGATGCTAACTTCATGACTCTCAGGGCATTACTCACACCAGGACTTTTCGCTGTATATCTGACTGAGGATAGAGCTGGGTATCTTGTCCAGAGCTTAGTAGAAAAAGAAGTCCGAGTGCGAGTATGCCCTCAGAAGGGAGAAGGGGTGAGTCCCTTTGCCATCGAGGTTACCTATACCCCCAGCTGTTCTGAGGACTGCTGGTGGACAGTGAATCCGTACCTAGACAGCTTTGGATCCCCGATTCCTTTCCAACGGGTGGCTGTCGGGCAGTTCCTCTTTCTCTTTTTGTTTGATTCCGCTAGTACACGTTTCTGTGAACGAGATTCTGTACAGATCTTGGTCTGCGTTGTCTAGGTTCGTGTGCAGCCCTTTGGCGTTTGCTCTTTGCTGTTTGTCCGGCCTTTTTCTTGCCGGTCAAAGCTTGAGACTAGGGGCTAGTACGTTTTTTCTTTCTTTTTTTTTTGGTTTTGCGGCTCCTCTCTCAGGCGGATACATACGGTAGAAGTGTGGGCGGACAGATTGCGGATCAACGTTTATTACACTCCGGTTGGGTTCTCTCACTGGTTGTCATGCAGAGGTACACCTGCCCACATTCTGTGGAGTGCAGCGAGGGCCTCTTTCCCCACTGGAATGATAATCATGCTGATGATGTCAGTTTATGACCGAGAGCAGATGAGGGAATAGAGGACTGTCTAGCTTCTCCCTACTACTTTTGGGCAGAGCGTAGTACGGGGTAGTACTGAGGGTTGTGCGGGGTAATACGGGCCGTAGTATGGGGTAGCACGTGTCCTGCAATTATCTGGATGGAGCCTTTGGGGGGGGAAGTGCATATAAAATATTTCAACTTTCAAGATGTCCGTGGTAGAAGTCAGCATTCTGAGCGACTTTTGACTGAGACAAGTTCCGATGCCCTTGTGATATTCCGGATTAAAAAAATCGCCTAAAAAAGAACGCAAAACCCCATGCTAAGGCCTGTACTACCGTACTTGAGAAGTACCTCCAGGGTGGTAAGGGGCTGTACAAATCCCTCCTTAGCATGGGGCCGTACAATTTCCCCTTTGCTGCTGTCATATGCCGTACTACAGGCTACACTGCTGCTGTCATATGCCGTACTACAGGCTACACTGCTGCTGTCATATGCCGTACTACAGGCTACACAGGTTCGGTGGACAGTTGTTGCGGTTGCCGTGTACACTGGTGCAGCATGGGAGTTGGCTTGGGAAGACAATTGGCGTGACGCCATGACGACCTTATTGAGGCCCTCACAGGCAGGTGAGGCAGCAAGTTGGTGTTGTGAGGTCAGGCAGAGAAGGGGTAGGGCCCGTAGGGGTAGCGGCGAAGGTTTGCATATTACGTCTTTTTCTCCTTGTCTTGGACAGTGATTGATCTGCCTTTATGAGGGTTATATCGCTAGCGTAATAGTTCCACAAAGCGACCTCTTCCTCCCTCTTCCCGTCCTCCCGCCCCCCCCTCTGTGCCCCCCCCCGCACCCCTCTTCTGTGTCCTCCCCACCCAAAGCTATCTCTCTGATGGCAGCTGTGCTGTGCATTTTACGTACTGCATGCTGTCGATCAGCCTTTCTATTAACTTTAACAGGGTTGCTCCGGGGTCCTGGGCTCGCTTTGCCATAATTTCCATTTGTGAGTACTAACTCATTGGGTTAAAATTTGCTGCATGTTTAAAAAAAGAAAAAGAAAACCCGTCGGAGGGAGGGACATTGTGTAGCCGCCTGTTTTTGAGGAGATATCTGTAGTTACCTTTGATAGCAGCCCTTCCCTTGACAATGTATGGATTGCAGAAATTTGCCGGAGCAGGACTGTTCACTCCTAGTTGATTGTTTTCGGTTTCTAGCTTTCTGTAGGAATTAGTCGAAGATGTGGAACGCTACTTGAGGAAGCCACGCTGAGGGCATACTCACACTATTATAGCACTTTCCTAAATGTATCTGACTGGAACTGCGGACAGAGCCGGATGAATCTGACTGCCATCGCATCCAGAGCTAAGTAGAAAAGAAGTCCTCGTGTGAGTAGACCCTGATGATTATGGCAGCAGAACTGTATTCTATTCTTGGACGCATCTGATCATTTGACATTGCCGGCCCCCGTTTCCACATACACCTGGATACCTAGGTCATGTGGAATTGCTGGTGTGGGGGGGTTCCACATACAGTGGGCATATGGTATCGCAAATGCCGATTGAGAAGGCATGCAGCAGGGATGGCATGAGCAATGAATGTGATAATAGCTGCTCAGTTCTTTTTCTTTTCTCGTTTTCTTCTTTAGTCCCCCCCCCCCCTCCCCCCCTTTGAATTGCTACCCCGGCTTTGTGCTCCTACCTTAGATTCATTGCATAACAATTGTGTTGTCGGCCGACGCCGGGGGCAGTTTTCTTACACTGTGTAGAAAGTGCCAGAAAGTTAGAAACATGTGTAGCTGTAGAAATTTGTTGTTGGTCAGCATGCAAGAGCGCACATGAATTGTTCTGCAGGACTGTTGCGGCTCAGTGTGGATGGTTGAGGCTCGGGAAAAGACTACTCGTTCAACTTGCAACAATTCCTGTTTTTTTTTTTGTTTTTTTTTTTGTTTGTTTGTTTGTTTTTTTTTGGGGGGGGGGGAAGCTCAGGTTTTTTGACAGTGTAAGAGTGCAGAAGATTTGTTTTAGGAGGCGAGGGAAGTTTGGGCTCTGATTGGTTCGATGGTTGGTTGCTTCAGTCGTGTAGATTTTTGATCCAGGGATTCTGACAATTGTTTTTAATAGGGATTTTGACTTTCTGATTTTAATGATGGAGCAACGAGATTCTGAGGCGAAAGTGTTGAAGCCTGGCAGCAATACGACAGAAATGAAAGTGGTGAGTAGTAGATAGTAAAGCATCTTCTTGTGCAAGTGATGGGTATGGCTGACGACCTTGGGGCTCGTTTTCTGCAGTATATTGATGGGCAGGTGGTAACCGTTGCAATTGATGGCGGGTGAGGGTTTTGTATGTGCAGGAAGGAGATGAAGTGCAAGCTGCGTCTCCTGTATTGCCTGGCTCGGCGGATTGGGAAAGTTAAGTATTGCTCTGTGTGTACGGAGAGAACGCCTCCGTTTTCAATGGTGTGGTCCTTCGCTTTCCGTGTGCTTTGTGAGTTCATGTTGCAGGGTCTGTAGACCTTTTTTTTTGTGTGGTTTTAGAACTTTTAGGGATGATTGTATTCAGTTTGTTCAACTTTGTTGCACTTAATATCTGATGTTTTCTGTAGTCGAGAGAGTTGATCAGGTTCATTGTATCGGGATCCATTAAATTCTCTCCAGCAATTCGCTCGACCTGATTGGCTGTAAACGTCAGTGTGTTCACATAGGAAAGGATATGGGCTGCTCGACAAGAGGTGAATATTGTTTTCCTTGTTTGGAATCGAAGTGACAAACCGACCATGTATGAGGTCCAACAGAGAGGTCTCACTGCATAGGGGCTTTTTAACTGTGAAGCAGATGAGCACTCTCTGCTTGAAATAGCATGGGCACCTAAAGGTATTAGGCATTACCTTGGATGGGTTCATGGATGTTCGGCACTTTATTTGTTGTGCTACACGTTGGAGAGTTTGTTATGACAGCAGCGGAGCAGCGGACGCGACAGGCCAATAGACGGTCTCCGATCTCAAATTGAGCGTAGTGTTGAAGAGCGGCATTCAGCAACCGTTTGTGAATGCCAGTTCAAGGAGCCTCTATCCTTCGTGTTCCCAGCATTACAGAGCCGATAAAAGAGAGATGACGGCACTGATACGCCCAAGCCGCGATATTTTCAGAGTCCACAATGAACATGTTTCTGCAAGGCTGGGGCCTTGGAATGGTGATTTAAAGCACTGTTCGCCAACAATTCTTTGGAGGTATGTTTAATTGTTGGGAAAATTGCATCTGTACCCCCGTGTACCCTGTTTGAACATGGGAATCCCCTTTTTTATACCCAGTCCAGCGCCCAACTTACGTCGGCCCGTGGAAATTATATCCGTGTTTTAGACTGCGGTGGGCCAAGGTTGGTACCGCCAAGTTGCGGTTTTACCCAATTATCATAATCATGCTCAATTTATGGACATGTTCGGGCAAATTATGTGCACGCCGGGGCTGACATGGAACAGCCAAATTATTCATATGCCCAAGTACTGGATGGCATGGCAGAAATTATCCTCATACCCAGCTGCAGCCGTTGGGCCACAAGGGTCCACTTCCCTACCCCTCTCCCTCCTTCCCCCCTCCTCCCCCCCTCCACCTCCACAAAATATGTCTCTGCTCGCTCCGCCTCTGTTTCTTCCGTCTCCAACTTCCCTCCCCTCCAGGAACAGGAGGTGAAAAAAAAGACTAACATTTTTTGAAAGATATGGGGGAAGAGAGGAAGGAAGGAGGGAGGGAGGGGGGGTGCAGGTGCTATGGCTGATGAACTCGTTTATCGGCACTAGCAGGCCTTTCCCGTCGCTCTGTCCTCTCCTCCTGGATGCCATCTTTCTCTCCCCTCCTTGCTCCTCCTTTTTCTACTTCCCTCCCATCCACGAATGAGAGATTAAAAAAACGGCGACAATGATTGAATAACCTCCTTCAGTATGTGACCTAACACCATTACCCATAGGCCTCTCGCACGACATTGCACGAAGTCATCATGAACACTCTCTGGCGTACTCCTGTTAGTGAAGGTTACATGTATCATCATAACTCACTGGTAATTACGTACACAACTAAACGCCACCAGTGCTCCCGACAGGTTTTTTTTTTTTTTTTTTTTAAGAAACGAAATGGAAATAAAGCATACGTGTGGTGCATCGACATGCGCTGCATGGTGCACACGCATGTTTGTTGCTCATATAAAAAGATGTAAAAARATTTTWTTTTTTTTTTCGTTTGCTTTTTTTTTTTTCTCTCTTTTTATGATGATTTTTTTTTTTTTTTGCTTTTTGTTTTCTCTTTTTTATGTTTTGGCCACCCTTGCCCCTTGTATTGTCAGCTCTTTCCCCTCGCATTGTTTGCTCAGCAGCATGTCTCTTCTCTTGGCAACCCCCCACTCCCTTTCATCAGAGCCCCCTTAGGTTGCTACTTTTTTGATCCACCATCAGTCCGCGCGTGCATGATCCACATAGACTTCGGTCACGGACACCAGGACTGGGTAGGCAGATGCAGCGCTTTTTTTTCCTCTTTTATTTTTTTGAAACACCTCCTGATACTGCTAGGAATGGTGATACGAGCTCCCACCTCTGGAGCCTCTCCCCGAGTGCTAGTGGTATCTGCTTTTACCAATAAATTAGCATGCAGGGGGCGTTAAAAAAAAAAAAAAAGGAGAAGGAAATGAAGAGGGGGGGAAAAAAAAAGCACTGCAGAGGTTGTAGCGGGTCAGGGGTGACTCCAGTCTATTGGTGGGGACTGTCACCTGGTGGAAACCGGGTCCAGTGTCCCATGAGATAACAGAAAAACCGTGCTGAAGTTTTTGCTATGTCTAGCCTTTTCAGGCTCATATAGCCCAGGTAAATTCAATCTTGTGTCTAATATGAACCGGGTGGCCTTTTCAGCCCAGGGTGGCCTTATTGTCTTCCACCGGCTAGTCAGCAAGAACCTAGCTGCGACATACCTCAGACTCCCCATGCCGAATCATTGTAACACCAAACCTGAAGCCTTTGCTATGTACTCTTACCTCTTGAGGCTCATATAGCCCGCCGGATATTCAACAAGAATCTAGCTGCACAATCAATATAAACTGTCAGTACCTTTTTCAGCTATCGGTGCCGAGCCTGAAATGGACCTGCACGCTGAAAAAGAACGAAGCGGTCAGGCCTCGTTTTGCATGGCGCCACCAGCCTTTCCGTCCGCCTCCCGTGTCAACCGGCGGGCATTTGTTTTTCAAGCGGAGAAAAGGTACTGGTGGTTTGCGACTCCCCCATTATACCAAACCATTGCAAGTCCACAAGAGAGAACTCAGATTGGGGGAAGGGATCAGGACAAAGATGAGGAGATCTCAATGAAGTCCCTGGCTTGATGTCAAACCCACTCTAGAAGGTAATCTGATGGACCCCTTTAAAAGTGACCCCATCTCCCTCACCACCTGGTCACGACACCTCCCCAAGTTTTTCTCCCTGTTATCACTTCTTTTTGGCCTCTGCCGTTCCATAGTCACACTCCTTCCTCCCGCTGTCTCCACATCATCCACTCCTGCATGGGTCTAGTTTGCCCATCTCAAGGTCTCTTCATTTCTCCCTTTGCAGTCTCCATTCACATTTCTTCCTTCTCCTGTCATGTTGCTGGGCTCCCTTCAATTTTAACTTCTTTGCGATGCATTTGCACACATCTTTTGTACTAAAATGCCCATAGTAACGCGTTCCTTCCTGGACTAGGGTTATTTATTTATTTATTTATTTATTTGTTTATGTTTTTTTGTTTTTTTTGTTTTTAAGGTTAAACAAGTTTTGCTGGAAGATAGTCAAATCTAGCAGTATGGGATTCAAGTGTCCAAGCAGCAATGCACGCAAATCCCATGGCAAGTTTAATCATGTTAGCTTTCTTCAAAATTTAATGTTATCCTCTCGTCTCCACAACAAAGAAGACCCTGGGCATTGTAAGAAAATATGTTCAATTGTCGCGCTACTTTTTCTACTTGGGAGTGCCGTGACACATACCTGACACCAAGGATGAGCCAATCCTCGATGTTTTAGAGGAGAGTGATTGATTGACCAGTCATTGGTCGGGAGGCGGCAATAACATATTATATGTCGTTGCAATGATGCAAATTTTGGCAGTTTTTCCTTGAACCCCTGACACCATTTAAACCACAGGTCCCCCCGCCATCGAAAACCCCCGGTACCGGTGAGTTAGGGGAGCGTTTTTCGGAGGTCGGCCGGCCGAACTCACCGATCTCGCAAGTCCCTGGGTACTGGAGCAAGGCCCCACGGTGTAGAGGGCGGCGAACGGCGGGGTTTCATTGAGCGGCATCGAAACGGTCGGGTGGTCCAGTTATTGGGCCGCCGACAATCTGTACCGGACTTTCGCGCTGTGGCGGGAATTGAAGGGCCGCAATGAAAATGCGAAAAACAAAAACGAAAACAGATCCAAAAAATCCGTCGCTGCGCGCATTTTTTTTTGTTGTATTTTTATTTTGTTATTGTTACCATTGTCCCGGTACTACTGATATATACATATGAGATGACGATGTGGAAACGCGTCTCCTCTATGTAGTCGTGTAGGGTTTCGATGTCGTTGACACTTTCACCTGTAATCGGGGTTGTGACAGTCATGTCCGCCATCGCCACGAGCCCCCTAACCCGACCCTGCCTCCTTGATCTGTTGTTTCCGTTCGCCGTCCTTGCCGCCTCGTTTCTGGCAGCGTGAACTTGTTCCAGTGCGATGTGGATGGGGTCGTTGTAGGTCTGCGAAGCCGGTGAGCAGTGCGGCGATGTGGCCTTCCTCTCTCTCTCTCTCTCTCTCTCACTCTCTCTCCGCGTGACGTCGTGGTGAGTGTACGGTTAGGTATCCTGTGCGGTGGTTCGTGTGTCTATCGGGTTGCGTTCGGGATGTGACAAAGACGCCATCGCTTTGTCCATCCGTCCACTGCACCTCCAGCGTGCCGGCGATGTCGCAAGCGTTTCGTATTTTCGCGACACTCGTGCACGACAGGCTGCGTTGCCCTTTCACGGCGGCTGTGTGTGCATGCGTGTTTGAGCGGCGTCCAGTAGCGGTGGGTGTGCTGGCGAGTGTTCGCTATTGTGCTGCGTGCATGCGGTCGCGCGTTTGGAGTTGTGTTGGCCGTCGTCGATCCTCCGCTTTGTTGCGGTTCTGTGTAAGTGTGAGTATGGTCATGTGCGTGTGGTTGCGTGTTTGTTTACGTGTTCGTGCGTGGTCGTTTCTTCTTCCTTTTGTTCTTCTTTTTCTTTTTCTTCTTCTTCTTCTTGTATATGTTGTTCTTGTTGTACTCCTTGTTGCATTCCTTATTCGGTTGTAATGTTCGTTTTCATTTTTTTTCATCACCGTGTCGTTATGTTTGATTTGTATACGGCGTTTGTTGTTTGAATGTTGTTGTTGTTGTGCATAGAGAGTTGTGATTTGTATACGGCGTTTTTTTTTGCCTTATTTTTCGATCGTTTTTGTCTGTTGAGAGCGCGTTGTTTATCGTATATGCTCTTAATTTTTTTTTATTTTGCTTCTTTCTCGTCTACGTCTTCTTCGCGTTCATCTTTGGCTTGTCGTTCATCGTGTGTCCATCGATGTGTTGATTCTTCATACCGCGCCACCTGTCATCCCCGTCGACGACCTTGTTATATTCCTTGCTTTGCTTTTTTCGCCTTTGCGCTCCGATTCACGGTTACTTACGGACATATATATATATATATAACAGTTTGTCACACCCCCTCGTTTGTTGTCCTCTTCTCTATCTCTGCGTACGGTTCACTGGGCATTTTTGTTTGTAACAATATATATATGTATATGAGAGAGAGAGATCGTCGCCCATAATTAGAAAAGACTCCTGGATATGTGGCGTATTTCGTAGCGTTTTTTTTTTCCCCTGCGGTTCTTGTAATCGTCGCAGGTGTTCTGTGTTGTTTGCATGGTGGAAATTTTTTCTTTTCCTTTGTAATCTTTTTTCCATTGATTTCTTTTCGGATATATTTTTATATCTTCTATTAAGTCTTGTTTTTTGTCCTTGTCTCTTCTTCTTCTTCTTCTTCTACTTCTTCTTCGCGTTCATCTTTTGCTTGTCGTTCTTCGCGTGTCCATCGCCGTGTTGATTCTTCATGTCGCCCATCCTGTCGTCCCCGTCGTCGACTTTATATATATATATATATATGAGAAGAAGAGAGAGAGAGAGAAAGAGAGAAAGAGGAACGTTGGCCTGTCGCATCGAAACTGCTTGCATCACGTTGCCATCAGACATGACGTTTGCACAACATTTTTTAGGTTTCGTTTTTTAGGTTACTTCGTTTTATTTTTTTATCTTGTTCTCTTATTCGTCGTTTTAGGTTTCCTTTGTTAGTTTTCTTCGTTTTATTTCTTATGCGACTTCGATATTGTTCGGCCGTGTACATGGCAGCACACACAGCGCTGAGTATATATATATATTCACAAACAGAACTGGCCGGTAAATCGTAGGCACAAAGAGAGAAGAGGATATATATATATATATATATGGCGGATAAATGTTTTTTTTTGTTCTGTCAGGTCTTGTTTTTGTCCTTGACCCATCTTTTTCTTCTTCTTCTTTTTCTTCTTTTTCTTGTTCTCCTTCATCTTCTTCTTGTACTTAATACACAACGCTCGGCATAGACACCCACGACATATACACATGCAGACACAGAAACAGAAGTGGTCGATAAATTATATATATATATATATATCGCCACAAACAAAACTGCCCGGTAAACCGTTGGCAAAGAGAAAGAGAAAAGGACAACAAAGGATGGACTGTGACAAACTGTTTCGTCGGAGTTTATGATTTTTCTTCATATACTTGATGATATATATATATATATATAGTCGGGTAAACCGTTGGCAAATAGAGAGAGAAGCAGGGGTTGTGACAAACTGTTTCGTCTGAGTTTCATGGACTCTTCATATATGTACAGTGTAATCAGTGAGGGGATTCGGCAGACTGTTGAGGGTTCAGCCTCTTGATTAGTCGGTGAAACTCCGACGAAACATGTCACAGCCTCTCGTTTGTTGTCTTCTTCTCTCTCTCTGCCTACAGTTTGCCGGGCAGTTCTGTTTGTGACGATATATACTACGACTTCGCTAGCTTCCTGCTACATTTTTTTTCGGTCAGGTCGAGCGGCAGTGGTCGGGGCCGTTACTAGGCGGCCATGCTGTGCCTCTAGTGCCAGCGGCGTGTCTGGAGTGTATTTTTTGGCTGGGACAGAMCTTTTTTTGTTTCGTGGATGTTTTGTTGGCTTGTGATGGGGTGTGAACCGACAGTCTGTAGAGTTTTCCATCTGGTGTGGGTGAGTGATAGTCTACTTTGATTTTGGTTAAGGTAAATTATCATTTACAGTGTAATAAGTGAGGGGATTTTGCAGACTGTTGAGGGTTCAGCCTCCTGATGGGTCGGTGAAACTTCGACGAAACAGGTTGTAGTCCCTCATTTGTTGTCCTCTTCTCTCTCTCTGCCTACGGTTTACCTGGCAGTTCTGTTTGTGACGATATAGACTATGACTTCGCTAGCTTCCTGCTACGGTTTTTTTCGGTCAGGTCGAGCGGCAGTGGTCGGGGCTGTTACTAGGCGGCCATGTTGTGCCTCTAGTGTCAGCGGCGTGTCTGGAGTGTATTTTTTGGCTGTGACAGACCTTTCTTTGTTTCATGGATGTTTTGTTGGCTTGTGATGGGGTGTGAACCGACAGTCTGTAGAGTTTTCCATCTGGTGTAGGTGAGTGATAGTCTACTTTGATTTTGGTTAAGGTAGATTATCATTTACAGTGTAATCAGTGAGGGGATTCTGCAG